TTCTCAACGGTTATAGATTCCCTTCCCACCCAAGAGAACTGCTCCCTCCCTTGTGGTTTTGTATAGACCCATTTCGACCTGTTCTTCCTGGTAGAAAACTCCTCCAGGTCTTTGAGATGGGAACAATTCAAGCTTTTATTGATTTAGTGCTTTGTTACCCTCCTTTACAAACAATTATTGTCTCTCAGGAATGGAGAAGAGAGACAGGTCTTGCCACCACATTACAGTTTAAAGAAATAATAATACAGGGTCAGACACCAAAGAGAAAGGCAGTACAGTAAATTCTCGTTATTCACGGTAGTTATGTTCTATAAAATCACCGTGAACACTGAATTAGTGGATACCAAAACATTGCTCCTAGGGAAATACAAGGTTAGGTTCCTACAAGCCTCTGGTCACAACATTCTTGTCAACCGATCAATACATAACTTTGTTTTATGCATGTTTCTGTTTAAAGGCCTCTTATTTAATGTGCAAAGAAAGCCCCCCCCCCAAAATAAACAAAGATTATGTATTTAAAGTTTTATTAAAAAAAATCTTACTTTCAATGGCCATTTTAATCAGCAAGATCACTGAGAGAAGGCAGACCTGTACACAGTGGTGACTTAAAATTTTCGCCGCTCTGCACATGTCCACGAATAACTGCCAAAGCATTGATGTTGGGGTTACAAATAAACTTTAGCAAGTAGGCGAATTTGCAAATATGGAACCCACCAATAACAAGGATTGCCTGTAATTGAAAAAGCCAGCGGGGAAGAGGTTGATTCAGGAAATCAGGCAAAAGCGATCCAGCCCAGTTTGGCTTGATCTGATGTTATGGAATCTTAACTGCCTATCAAGCCTTGATGCTGAAGATGGAACGGAAGAAGGTCAGGTGCTTTGCTCACTCAGATGCAGTGGAAAACAGCCCTTGGGTGGCATTTAAGAGGTCTGCTCACACTTGGCACAGAATTGCTCTCCCGTCAAGGACTGATGGAAGGTCACCAGATAAGACCACTGGTTCATCCCAACGCCCAGCAGAAAACTCCTTCTGAAGGCACATAACTGGAGTCCTTGGTGCTCTCTGAGCTTGGTGGTTTTCTTGCAGATGTTTCGTTACCCAACTAGGGAACATCTTCACTGCACTGCAAGAAAAACCCCCAGCTCAGAGAACCCCAAGGACTCCACAGTTCAGCCCTGAGCTACAGAGATTCTCGTCTGTTGGTAGCCCATAACTGTACTGCTGTGTGCTTAAATTGACCAGAGAACATTTAATTTAGAGATGGAACAGGATGGGGCAGAGGCTGGTTAGGAGGAGGGAAGAACAGGGCAGTGGATTACACTCTGTGTGTGTGTGTGTGCACGCGTATTTGTACATGTGCATGCAGAGGAGAATGCACATGTACATATCACAGCACACAAGTATCCAATTTCTGTATTTCCTGTGGCACCCTAGCAATTCTTTCATGGCATCACCATGAGGGGTGAGTGCAGTAATCATTTAATCTTCATTTTTCAGATCATATTTCTTTTCCACCCTTTTTATTATGTTGTTATACATCTTAACACATTGCACGTGTTGTTTGTGTAATATATTTGAAAATGATTAACCTTCTATTATTTAGGTAGCTCAGAATGT